GGAAAACCAGCATTGCCATTTGGATCACATCAGCTTTAGAAACCTCACTTATTAATCTCCTATTGACCCATGTGACTCCACTAAGTTATTTTTTATTTTCACTTGCAACATGATTTCTTATATGACATTTGTGTTTTCATATCTGATAAACGAACTGGCTGAAATGCATTATACAGGTTAAGTTGGTTTGTTTTTACATCATAAGTTTCTTTTTAATGGCATATGAACTCCTTATGGGTCATTTAATGGCAAAATTTTATTTTCTTGTGACATTTGATAAGTTTTTTTTTTTTTTCAAAAAATGCATTGCTGGTATTTTTTTTCAATAATTTTTTAAATTTTTTTATTATGAAAATTTATTTCTGGTAATTTTTTCTAATGTATTTGTATATTTTCATGTTTTGACTCCAGTTTAAGGGTTCACTATTTACCCATAGCTGCGATCCCAAACAGGTGCAACCACCCTGAGTCAAGGTGGACCTGGGAACACAACAATTAAGAGATAGCTCCACACTACTCAAAAGCTCTCGATCAGAGGCCTTGCTGCCGGGTGTAGTTTATCGTCATACCCAGGACGGCGTATATGTTTATAGACTACAGTGATGTGTAATGTACTGAACAGTAAATGAAATAATCAAATTCGGGCGGCACCTATATAATCTGTACATGGCTTCCGATTGAATATTGGAAATGCTGTAATTTTTATTTATTTTTCACTTTAACTTTATTCATTGCAATTCATTTTAAAGAAAAAAAGAGATAAACAATCAACCCAAAGTTGTCGTTGTGGATAATGAATTTATTTTCCACCCTACAACCCGTTTCCCACAGACGAAATATCGACATCCCATCTTTGCCCAATTGCTATTTCCATGGCAAATGTTCAGATCTTTAGTTCCACTTTTTCAGACAGTAATTCTCAAGTAGGTTCCTTAGTTTCTCTCTTTTTGAATACCAGTCAGGTTCATTGCATTCACCTATGTGCAAATAGCCTCAGGAAATGTAGGAATCCATCTCCTTCCCTCAACTATGGGTTAAACAGTAGAACTTGTATCTGAAAAAAATCTTTGTTATTCTAAATACAATTTTCAATCAAAAAATCTTTTGAAAATAAAAATAATTCTTACAATGCAGAATATGTTTTGAGTTGACAGAGTTCCAAATTGTCTAACCTGCCTTGCGGAGGATGAATTGTTTCCCACCCTGCAACTTCTTTCCCCTGTAGTTGATACACTTCGAACTGATTGCTGCTATTGCGGTTTCCATGACAAATGTTCTGACGAATGACATTCTTTAATTTCACCAGCTCAGACCTGCCAATACCACGTACACAGGGTTGAATCATCCTCATTTAATATGTATTCCATTGATAAGGAGGAAGGACAACTTCTTCCTAAAACAGCTTCTTTGTGAAACTAACTTCTGATTTTAATCTCTTCAAGTCTCGGGTCAACTGTTGCCTACTTTTAGAGCCCTCATTCATTCTACCTTGAGTGGCTTTTTCATTGGAGAATAAAACAAGACAAAGAATGGACAGACATTAATTTTAAGCTATCTGAATTTTTTTTTTAGATGAATCATTTTCTAAACTTTTATACTGGAATTAACCAAACCCAGTACTCGAAAGCCACTCAAAGTAGAGGTTTACTTTTAAAATTTTAATGTTGAATGAGGTGTGTAATATGAATAGAAGTGGAGGGGTTAGGAAATGAGGATAAGGTTAATTTCAATGCCTCCAAAACTAAATTGTTCTTTATCAATCATCTGAAAGAATCCTCTCTAACTCTCATCAGTATGGCTGATGCTAACCTCCAAGAGAGTGACTCACTGCACATTCTTGGGCTAACGTTCTTGGCTGATATGATGTGGAAAAACAGCCAATTTTCTTGAAGAACTGTTTTAAAAAGATTTTAAAATTTCAACTGACGGTAATCCTAACTGTTCGATCAATGGAAGGCAAATATTTTCTGTATGGAAATGTTTCATCTTACCATTACTATATAAATATTTTTTGTTTACTATCTCAAAATGGATGCTACAATCTAAAATTATATGAATTTCTTAAATGGAACTTATTCATTTTTGATGATGTCAATACAATTTTCACTCACAAAAAAAAAAACTTTGAAAAAAAAAAATTCTTACAATGCAGAATATGTTTTGAGTTTAACAATCAATTTCTTGACATAGTTCCGAAGTGTCTATGCAACTTTGCAGAGGATGAATTGTTTCCCACCCTGCACCTCCTTTCCCCTGCAGTTGATACACTTCGAACTTATTACTGCTATTGCGGTTTCCATGGCAAATGTTCTGAAGAACTACATTCTTTGATTTCACCATTTCAGACACAGCGAAGACCCGTCAATGTCACGTACACTGGGTCGAATCATCCTCATTTCATTCGTATTCCATTCGTAAGGAGGAAGTTCCACTCGGGCAGTTCTTCTCGAGAAAAGCTACTTACTGGAACAGACTCTTTGATCACTTCAAGTCAGCTGTTATCTATTCGACATATCCTCATAATCTGAATTTACTTAATCATCTTACGTCCATACTGCAACTTTACAAGCCTGTACCCTTGGGGAAGGTATGAATACTCTTCTCCCTTACTTATGAGTAAATAGAAGGACAGACTGGGTTCTATAGCCTTGAATGGCAACCAGTCTAGGAGAAGGTAACCCTGAATTTAAAAACCGGCCTGGTTTGGGTTGAGCTCAGTCAGGCTATCTTGCTCAAGAAACACCATATGTGGTTCTCCTAAGACCCTGATGAGTCACAGGATTCGCGATCGCACGAGTACGCTCAAACCCTCAGTCACGACGACTAGTCACTTCGTGTTAGCACAACTATCGTAGGGCTCCCAAACAGGTTCGTCTATCCAGTTTAATTCACGAGGCTTGGGTTCACCCGTGGTATTGTTTTCAAGCACTTTCCAAAGGTATTGCACGCTAGGATCGCCTCACACACCACATTTCTAAGACTGCATATTAATTACTTACATAAATATATACATATAATGTCCAGCTGTTAGTTTTCCAAACACACCCGTCTGCTAAGCTGGTTAGCCAGTCATTTTTGCGTAGACGCTCGGTCAGGCCCACCTGCAACTCTGATGAGCAGACAACAGAGTTTCTGAAGGAGGGTGTATAAACCGGGGTCAGTTTTTGAATAAAGCTCAAGAAGGAGCACGCTGGGATAATGGATAGCGGCTCGGATTGAGGAATCGGAGAGCCGAGTTCGAATTCCAGTCAGATCCATTACATTCACTTACGTGCTAATACGCTTGGGAAAGGTATGAATCCTTTATTCTCCCCCACCACAGCTATAGGCAAATAGCAGGGCAGACTGAGTTCTATAGCCTTGAATGCCAACCGGTCTAAGAGACGGTAACTCTGAATTCCAAAACCGGTCTGGAGAGGTTTGAGCTCGGTCAGGCTATCTTGCCCAAGAAGCACGACTTCTTCTGCGGCTGCAGTATATGTAGTGCCCCTAAGACCCTATCACAGGATTCGCGATCGCACGAGTACACTCAAACCCTCAGTCACGACGACTAGTCACTTCGTGTTAGCACAACTATCGTAGGCCTCCCAAACAGTTCCGTCTATCCAGTTTAATTCACGAGGTTTGGGTTCACCCGTGGTATTGTTTTCCAAAGGTGCTGCACGCTGGGATAATGGATAGCGGCTCGGATTGAGGAATCGGAGAGCCGAGTTCGAATTCCAGTCAGATCCATTACATTCAGTTACGTGATAATACGCTTGGGAAAGGGATGAATCCTTTTTTCTCCCCTACCCCAGCTATAGGCAGATAGCAGGACAGACTGGGTTCTATAGCCTTGAGTGGCAACCGGTCTAGGAAAAAGTGACTCTGAATTCAAAAACCGGCCTGGAGAGTGTTGGGCTCCGTCAGGCTATCTTGCCCAAGAAACACAACTTCTACTGCGGTTGAAGTACACGTGGTGCCCCTGATGGGTCACAGGATACGCGATGGCGCGAATATGCATAAATGATAAGTGGACAATGCTCTGTACATGACAGTAAACGAATCATCACTATATCTTGCCGTACACTCCGGATTGTAGAGCAAATGTTCACCAATGGCCGAATCGTGAATAGACCGGGTACAACGCGTACTGCAATTTTTATATTTATATGAACGTGTTGTCAGATCTTGGTTTCGAGTCGCTGATTGGTTCATCCTACATAGTCAGCCTCACACTGACATTTTAATTTATAAACAACAGAACAGTTTCTAATATACGTAAACAGGAGGCACAGTGGAGTAATGGATAGATGTTCGGATTGAGGAATCGGAGAGCTGAGTCCGGATCCATTACATTCCCTTACGTGAAAGGTATGAGTGTTCTTCTTCTCCCCACCACAAGCTGTGGGTAAATAGCAGGACAGACTGGATTATATAGCTTGGTCTATGAGAAGGTAACTCTGAATTCAAAAACTGGCCTGGAGAGTGTTGGTCTCCGTCAGGCTATCTTGTCCAAGAAAAACCACTTCTACTGCAGTTGCAGTACATGTGATTCCCCTAGGACCCTTATGGGCTACGGGAGTCGCGATTGATCGATTGCGCGACCCTCAGTGGGCCTTGTAGTGGATAAATGTTTAGTTAAAAAATATTTTTTTTTATCATTTTACTCCAAGAAAGGCAATACATCGGCTTATAAAAATATAGCGTACAAGAGCCATTTTTATTTTATGATTTTATTTTATGAGTTTTTATAACTAGTCGTAAGTCCGGGGTCGTCAATCAGGTAAGTCGTTAATTGAGGGCTGGTTGTATATAATTAAACGCCTCTCTGACAGTGACAATAGCGCAAAAAAAAAAAAAAAAAAAAAACTCATTCAGGCATGTAACCATCTGAGCAAGATGCATGTCTATGTAAATAAAAAGAACACGTCTATTCTACCGCCTCCCCGCCGTCTGTGCGTATTGATAATGTAGATAAATCCATATCTCCAATATGTATCTATGCAACCGTCAGCGCTTTACCTCATAGAAACAGACAAGCCACCACAAAGACGGAAGGACGCCACACCTTTCCCACCCACAATGGTGCATTGCAGCCGATAATTGTTGAAGAAATATTTTGTCAGGAAGGCCGATTGGTAATTAAGTGTATTAATGCATTGCTCATCCCTAACGAAGCCCCTTTTTTTCTCCGCGTGATGAGTAAGACACGCCGACATGATATGGGTGGGGGTGTGGTAAAGAGGGAACAGGGCATGGAAACGAGGTGGGTGATGTAGAAGCGAGAGGGTAAGGATGGTGGCGAATATAGAAAGAGTTGGGGAGAGAAAGAAAGGTATTGCTGGAGTGGAAATACAGCTAGGAAGCTTTGTGGGTCTGTCACCTCTCTTGAAAAGGAAAGGAAATTTTCGTCCCTTTTTTTTTTTTTTTTGGCTGTTTGCTTTTCCTGCAGTGGAGAGTTTGACAAGATCAGGAGGAGGCGGAAGGCGGAATGACGCTGAGAGAGAGGCAGAGAGAGAAACACACACACACACACACATATATATAGAGAGAGAGAGAAAGAGAAAGAGAGAAAGAGAATATATATATATATATATATATGTATATTATATATACGTCTTTCTTTCTCTCTCTCTCTCTCACACACACACACACACAAATCCTTCACTATAATCAAATCATCTGTGCTGGTGTCTGGCTGCCGGTTCCTAGGAACTGAGCTGTTTGACCCTCATACATCGAATACGAAGAGAGAATCCACCATATATATATATATATATATATATATATATATATATATATATATATATATGTGTGTGTGTGTGTGTGTGTGTGTGTGTGAGAGAGAGAGAGAGAATAGGCAAATGTGCCAAGAAAAAAAATTGAGAAGTAGAGACGAAAAGTAGATAAATAGAAATGAACATACTGAGATAGATAGATAGATAGATAGATAGATAGATAGATAGATAGATAGATAGATAGATACGAACACACTGAGATAGATAGATAGATAGATAGATAGATAGATAGATACGAGCAGAATGGAATATACAGTTAGATGTATGGATAGATATGTGCAGAAGAGAATAAATAGATAGACTGTGCGAGAGAGACAGAGAAAGGTCAAACAGATGACAGACAGATATAGTTAGACAGAAATATTAACGACACACTTACATTGATATAATGAGAGTGAAATCGATACATATATATATATATATATATATATATATATTTTATATATATATATATATATATATATATATATATATATATATATATATATATATATATATATATATATATATATATATTATGAACCTAAAGAGCCTGACTCTTAAGGTTTATAGTTTGCTCTACTTAGTGTATTGAGCACTTAGTTATTTTTGCTTTACTCGTGTTGGAGGTGTTTTTTTTTTTTTGGACTCTGAGCTTGGATTCTGGACGATTGTTTTCCTTGGGTATTGGTTGGTTCATTTACAACCAAAATACCTAAGGTTTTTCCACGAGTATAATTACTTATATATATATATATATATATATATATATATATATATATATATATATATATATATATAATGAGATTAAACCATATGAAGGGATTGATAAGATGAAACTTCGCTAGATATACAAAGTAAAAGAAGTCGGATAGGTAAACAGAGAAATAAATATACTGACTCGATAAACAGATAAATGTACAAAATCTAATCCAACAACTTATATTCACTCTGCAAATTCTTTAGTGCTAGTGGCACTCCGGCCTTGCTTGGGGTGAAATGCTTAATATATATATATATATATATATATATATATATATATATATATGTGTGTGTGTGTGTGTGTTTGTGTGTGTGTGTGTGTGTGATAGATATGAACATAGTAGTTAGATATAAAGAATCTGTGATAGATATAAATATGAAAAAACCTGATATATGTAGGTGTCTGTATTTCTGAGATGAGTTGTTTAACTAATTACATTAGTTACATCATTCGGACTGTTGCCCTAATCTTTATTGCCATAGTCACGATGTTTCGACTGTTGTACGCTCCGATCATCTTCAGGATTTGTCTGTATTTCTGAGATGTGGTGTTTTAACTATTTACACTATTCACATCATTCGGACTGTTGCCCTAATATTTATTGCCATATATACGACATGGCCCAGTGTTGTTTTGAAGCAATCCAAAAAGTGACTTGATCCAAGGTATTGTGAGTTCAATACCTGGCCGCAGCAAAGGGAAGAAAAACTTGGCGAGTTGAGTGACTAAAGGGAATTAATTAACTGAAACTGAGACATTCCAAAGAAAGCATGGCATGTGGAACGAGAACAATCTACCCCCGTGGACTAAATAAAGGGTTTGATCTAAAATTCTAAAGTATATTACCTGAAGAAGACCGGAGAGTACAACGGCCGTAAAGTTGTGAATATGGCAATAAAGAAGAGGATAACAGTCCGAAAGATCTAAATTGTGTAAATATGTAGGTGTATATAATAAATTAAGATAGATACATGTTTATTATAGACAGAGCATTTACTTAAATATTTGTATCTATAAGAATAACGTATAAACAATATATATATATATATATATATATATAAAGCATGAAACAGATTCTCGCTGTTTGGTGTTTATCTCAGTGTCGACTGAGAGAAGGAAAGACATAAAGGCATAAAGGGACAGGGAGAAATAGAGAGAGAGAGAGTGAGAAGGAAAGAGAGACAGAGAAAAAGAGAGACGGAGAGAGAGAGGGAAAGAGTGAGAAAGAGAAAGAGAGAAAAGAAGAGAATCATAGAAGAAAATATGGGAGGACATATATGCGTGAGTGTGTACGTATGTGTGACTGTAGGTGTATTCCTGTATGCGAGTGTATGTGTGAGGGCGTGTTCATGCGAGTCAGTGTATGTATGAGTGTGTGTTCGTGTGTGTGATTGCATGTGTGAGTATAGATATTCGTCTGTGAGGTTGTATGTGTAAGAGTGTGTTCGTGTGTGTGACTGTATGTGTGTCCAAAATTCAATGTAAGTTAATGAGCGGATGCAAACTTGACTGATAATGTGTACACACGTGTGACTATACGAGTATCTGTGTGTTTGAATGTGTGTGTGTGTGTGTGTGTGCTTAAAAATATATGAATATAGAAATCAAAGGATGAAAAGAAAGAATAAACTTAAGTATATATATATATATATATATATATATATATATATATATATATATATATATATATATATAGAGACACATATGTATATATACAAGTATAGGATTGTTGTAGACGGAATAAATTCCAATAATCGAGAATACTATTCTTAAAAAGAGTGCTCAATACAGAGTAGATATATATATATATATATATATATATATATATATATATATATATATATATATATATATATTCAGTTGTATGGATATGTTTGTTACAAAACACATATCCATACAATTGAATATGTTAGCACTATCACTTGAGCGTTTTCTAATAAATACTGTGCGCATATATAATATATACATAGAAATTACACACACACACACACACATTGTATATATATATATATATATATATATATATATATATATATATATATACATGGTGTATCAAAATACATTTATAGATTTTTGTGGGGGCGTGTTCCTCACACCAAAACAAGGACAAATGTATATATATATATATATATATATATACATATATATATATATATATTTTTATATATTAATTGATTTAAAATATGTTTTTTTTGCTACACAGTTCTAACCATGTTTCAAAAATGGAAGCTAAAAGCCCCGAATTTAATGTTGTAATTAAATTAACGACATTAGTTCCATTTCATCCTCAAGCGAATTTTGGAGTAACTTTTAAAATTACTGGGTTTTAAAGACACAGCTAAAATCATAATTCATGTCTCCAAGGTTACTGTTCTTTCTTTATATATATATATATATATATATATATATATATATATATATATATATATATATAGAGAGAGAGAGAGAGAGAGAGAGAGAAAGAAAAAGATAGATACTTAGATAGATAAAGAAAGTGTGAAGATACTGAAAAACTTGTTAAAGCAAAAACATATATATGTGTGTGTGTGTGTGTGTGTGTATTTTTCCCACGATATTATGTCCATATGTACCCCTATCAATCATTGTCGCATATATTAAACCTTATATTAATACTTTATTTGACTTCCTTCTCGGCTTCCTGCTGTCCGATGTTATTTGATAAATGCAAAAATTAATTTGTATATCCGTTTAATATTAGAAACATAAGTGTTTTGATAAATGGTGAGATTAACAATTTTTTTTATGCAGGAAAACATCAGGCATTCACTGGCCCAACATTTAAACATTTATTTAAATCTTTCCCTCAAAAAAATCCCTAAGGAAAATTCTTAAGTCCACTAACGGTTGTATAAAGTCTTAACTGAAAAATCAATATTAATTAATAATTCGTTGCGAATTCGTATTTATTTTATCTGTTTTTGTTTGAGTTAATCTCAGGTATCATTTCGATTGATATAATGGAATATGCGTACACCTGTGTTCCCCCTCACTGGAATATAATTGGCTGGTGTCCGTCATAAATACAGACGGACATCTAGGTACGAGAGTCGAAGAGCCTTAGTCTGAGAGCTAAGTCTATAACGACGCCCATTGGACTACGCCATTGATCTACACTTCTTATCTGCGACTACGACGCGTACCAGTCGATTACTGCTACCATATTCTACTTGGTTATAGTAGCCAAAACCACTTAGCTACTTCGTTCAAATATATCCCTTGCCGGGACATATCATCGATCCTACGCTTTCTTTAAAGACATTGCCAAAAAAGGGTTTACTTGACTTGTCGATGATGAATTGTTTTCCATACTACAACCTCTTTCCCCACAGACGAAACGTTGCTAGTTTCTCGTTACTCTAACGTTATTTTCCTGACAGATGTTCCGCCGAACTACATTCCTTGGTTCCACACAGTTAAGACTTTCCAGAACCCGTACACAGGGCCGACTCATCTATATTTCCATTATATACCATTTGAATGGAGGAAGTGCAATTCAGACAACCCTTGAATGAATGCTTCCCAAATCACGACAATTTTAACTTCTTCAAGACTTATATCTAACATTCTGCGGATTAGAGAGAAGCTTCCATGCCTTCACTCTGGAATCAGAGTGTAGCAACTGTTTTTTTTTCAGTGTAGTGTTTCTGATGTTAGCTGCTTGGCAATGAGGTAAGTCTACTAATAGGAGATTTAAATTCCCGGTAGCACCTCCCCTCATGCATCAGGAGCAAGACAGGCTTCAGGAATTATAAGAGAATAACATAAATGCAATAAAAGTAAAAATAAAATCTTTGATGATTTTCATTTTAAAACTAGAATGTTTTTGATGTCGCATGACATAGTTTTCAAAAATGATTGCAACATTTTAGTTTTGTTTTATTCGTTAATGTATGGCAAAGAATCTGAAGAACTAATCTAATTGAGGACATTTCTTATAACAAAGAACTCCTATAAATCTTATAACTCAGATTTCTTTAACACCGTGTTCCTATAACACCGATTTAATATAACTTCGAACGCTTAGAAATCCGAGGCCCTATAACACCTATTTCCTATAACTTCGAATGCTTATAACTCCGAGTTCCTATTATACCACCATCATATAACTCCGAGTTCCTATAAGCCTGAATTTTTTTAAGTTCAAGCTCCTATAACCTAAAGCTTCTTTAATTCAGAGACCCTATAATTCAGAGTTCCTATAACTTTGAGTTTTTAACTTCTAGTTCCTATAACTCGAGCTCTTTTAACTCTGAGTTCCTATAATTCCAACTTCTTATAAATTCGAGTTCCTGTAAGTCCGAGTTCCTAGAACTCTGAGTTACTATGTTTCTTTGTTCCTTTAACTTTGAGTTCCTATAATTCAAGTTCCTATAACTTTGAGTTCCTGTAACTCTGAGTTCATATAACACTGAGTTCCTATATTTCCCTTTATCTTTAACTCTGCGTTCCTATAATTCCAGTATTCCTATAATTTCGATTTCCTGTAACTCCGAGTTACTATAAGTCTGAGTTTCTAAATTTCCTTGTCTCTTTACGTCTGAGTTCCAATAATTCCAAGTTTCTATAACTTCAAGTTCATATAACTCCGAGTTTTTATAACTCTGAGGTCCCATATTTCCTTCTTTTTTAAAGTTGAGTTCCTATAATTCCAAGTTCCTATAACTAGGAATTTCTGTAACTCCGAGTTCCTAGATCTCTGAGTTCCTATATATTATTGTTTCTTTATTGTTTAGCTGAAAATATGCTGCGGGTGCACACACACACACACACACACACACACACACACACACACACATATATATATATATATATATATATATATATATATATATATGGTGTATCAGAAATACTTTTAAAACACTGAGCTGGGTTCCTCACAGCAAAATAATCTAAAATATCCATATAAACATTAGCCCAAAAGGCCCTCATTTTACCTCAACACAGCAACTTATAACAAATGGTCAAAATTTCTTCCGCTTGCTTCTACACACGCGTGCACCCGTCGGATCATTGACTGGCGGAACCTTTCAAATATTCCCACGAGGTGTGGAATGCTTTCGCAGGCTCCCATGATTTTGATGAAGCCTCTCTGCATCATTAATGTCTGCTGTATAAACCAGTTGTTTTTAAGTTGCCCAACAGATAAAACTCCAAAGAATTGAGGTTGGGAAAACGTGCAGGCCATGGAACCGATCCGCCCCTACCTTTACATCTTTCATGGTGTATGTTAGCCATTGCATCGTTAACAATGTAACTGGAGCACCATCATGCCTAAACCACATGCGTCTTCGTATTAGCAAGGATACATCCTCTAGCAGGTCTGGAAGTGTGCTCGAAATAAAGCCAACTTAGACAACTTTTATGCTAGGAGAACATCTGAACCTACCAGACAGTGATCTACACTTTCACTACACACCTTAATCGTAAATTGATGATGGTGTCTAGCCTGTATTGCACCATGGGGATTCCGATTCGCCAACAGATGTTGGCTGTGTAATTCCATCTCCTCCAAATGTTGTCTCATCCATAAACAAGACTGAAGAGACACACAACGGATCGGCAGTTTGTGCAATAGACCATCGGCAAAGGTTCTCCTGTGGTGAGTGATCAGAGGGCGAAAGACCGTGCACACGTTGCAAATGATACGGATACAGGAACTGCTTTTGAAGTACCCTCCATACGGTACTATGAGATGTACGACATTCTAGGGCCACTTGACTTTTGATGATACTCGGATCGTCTTCGACAGCCTCTAGAATGTATTCTTCATGGTCAGGCGTACGAGCAGATCTTGGTATTCTTTGATTCATTGTTTGTGCTGTCATGCATCTTGTTTCAGCAAGGCGACGATAAACAGCGGCAAAGGTTGGATGACTCGATTGCTTTCGGCCTGGAAATGCAAACCGATACAACCTTGCAGCCTCGCGCCCATTACCATTCTCGCGGCCGTATGTAAAAATCATATCTGCCTGCTCCTGGTATGAATATGCTGACATTGTTAAATGGAACACTTCTCAGTTAACTCACTACTACAGACGTTGAACGTTGAAGATAGACTAGCCACAAATGTACACGAATTACAAATGTAACCCAGTCTACAGGGCAACACAGCGCCATCTACCATAAACGTTCTTTAAACTTAATAACGCAAAAACGAAGGATTTGCGAACATGTTTATATGTACATTTGCCCTTGTTTTGGTGTGAGGAACACGCCCCCCAAAAAAAAAAAT